GACTAATTTGTTTTGACCATATATATATATATATATATATATATATGTATATAGGAAAGCCAAACCACTGTATACAGATGTGAAGAACTGTAAGACATGAAGTGCTTGAATGTTGTATAATTCCTTGCACTTTTAATACCTTGCAAGAATAACTTAATTATTGTAAATTAAAACTCAAGGGAAACCAGGTATAAAATAAATTTTAAAAATTAGCATTCATATAAGTGTATTTTTACTTCAGTAATAATGAACAATTTTGAACTATCTTGCCTCAAAGATCAAATAAATGTGCTTAAGCCGTATCTCAGGCTCTTACTTTCTCTCTTGCTACCTGGAAGGAGTGGTGTCCAGGGAGTGGAAAGTGCTGTGCTTGTTCAGCCACTTTATTTTATTTCATGAATCAGTCTCATTGTATTTGGAAGGGCTTTGTGCAATGAGATGTTTTTGCCATATACCTCTACGGTTTGTCAGACAAAACCAGTAAAGCCCCAGACCTCCATGGGAAGTAAGATGTTTGCTTTTTCCAGTGTATTGGAGGGGTTTATCTCACGTGTAAATGTGTTGAAAAGGGTTTCTTTAATAAATTCCTATCTTTGGACATGAACTGTGAAGTARGGTTTGGAAATTTGGTGTGGTTGCTTTCCCTTTGCAATTCTCCTCATATTTCACAGCAGTGGTAGTCTTGTAAAAGCAATATACTCATTATTTTTCAAACTCTCCTCCAGATTATAGCAACTCTGGCTATATTTTCTAGTGGAAGTCATAAGATTGTTAACTGAAGTATCTTCCAGGTTGCCATATGGGTCTGCAGTGTATTTTCATTGTGCACAGGTACCTAACAAAAAGCCTATTGTTTAGGACTGAAGTTTACCTGAAAAGGAATAATTCTGTTTCTGAAACCTCCCCCATCTCTGGTTACCAGAGCCATCAGCTGGCCGTGAACTCTGACACTGCACACAGAGACACACTGCGAGTACCACATGCTTTTCTCCTTTTCCCCTTTGCTCACACCCCAAGTCTCAGATGCTGAATGGTACTGCCCTTTCTTTTTAACTCTGATTTGATTGTTGGTCTGATATCACCCAGCCCATGTCTGTACCATGGCCTGAATTTACAGAAACTSCAAAACAAGTTTTGTTTCATAAATTGAAATAAAGGTATGATTACCTGAGTGGCCACCCTGCAGAAKTGCCATGCTGATGGCTGGAGGAAGTGAAAGAGCAGGAAAGAAGTAACTGGAAGCTGGAGTGAATGGTCAAGTATTTAACCCTGTTTGTACCAAGGAGTCCTTGTAAGATCAGGTACTTGACTGCAATTGAATTAGTTTAACACTTAACGTTACTCTAAGTTACTTTACAAACTTATTTTCCTTAAAATCATGCTGTATTTAACAAGTAGCAGGTCCTTCTAGAAGAAAGATAATTTAGGATTAGTAAATTCACCTGAAAATTGGTGAGGCAGTTGGGGCAAAGTGGGAACGAACAGGGTGCAGGGAAAATCAAGTGCCAGGGAAGTTTTTGGCATCAAAAGAGACAGAGGAGGGTGTGAGTTGGATGTGGCCCTGAAACTGAAGAAACTGGAACTACTGAGAAGGGAAGCAGTCACTGGAGATAAGTGGTAAGACAAGAAAAAAGGAATCCACAGCCTGAGTAAGTCTGCTCCTCAAGGCAAATCAGACTGACTTGAGCTTTGCCACTGCRCATCCCTGTGGTCTGTCCTGCTCAGAGCTGCTGCTTCCTGCACTCTGTGCTAGTAGGGGGAKCCACCCCCACTCCTGAATGAGGTTTAAATCAACTCAGTTTAGATATTCTCACTGCTCCCTGGGACCTGCCAGTGGCAGAAAATCTACAGTTTTCTGAGTTATCTAGATAGCTAGTGTGTCCATTTAATTCAGATTTTTCTTTTCCCTGACTGAGTGCTGTTATTTTTCAGTTAAAAGTGCTTGAAGATCTCAGATTCAATCTTGGCACTTAGAACAATTTGTAGATAAATCTGGATTTAAAATGTAACTRGTGACAAGCATTGTGAGGCTCTGTACTTCTGAAGTTGTACCTTTTACGGTTTCTACAGATTAACAGATTCTAATAAAGTGAAGGTAGAGTTGGGCAAATAATTATTCACTTGTTTTATTTTGTGCTTGATCACACTTCTCTGGAAGATGCCATCAAGAATGGCACTAAGCATTCTGAAAACCTTATATATTAATAATTAAGCAGTTTGCATAACTGTATAAAATAAATAAGTAAGTAGATTTTTATGAAATTGAGTATGTWCTCAAGTAGCATTTCATGCTGATGAAGAAGTGGAAAAAATAGTAACAGCGAGGTCAGTTCCGTAATTTAATAATTATCATTAACTTCRGTCCCATCTCTGACTGGTGGTTCTGTAGTTTCCCTTTTAAAAAAAAGGAGAGGTGAATGTGGAACTGACACACAAATTGAGTAAGTAATGARAGAGTCTATGTCCACATTACCAATCAGTGTGCTGTAATAAGATCAGCTCTGTCAGGTGCTGAGAACCTGGCATCCGTGCTATACAGGTGGCAAGAGTTTTATTTCAAGCTAGTCCTGGTCTAATTCTGTGGCTGAATTCCTCTTGGTGGTTGGAGCATGTACAATGTACACCTGAAGCTCATTCTCTGGTCTAATTTTATTCAAAAGAAATTTGGCCTCATGTACTTGATGACTGCTTTGCAATGTAAAGCAAAGCAAGGAAAATAGGGTTGTTTGGGAGATGAACTTCAGAAGTGCAGTCCTGATTTGAATTAAAAATGTTAATTCGGACATACTTAGAGTCAAGCAGATCAGGAAGTTCACCAAAATAAAGTTGTTTAGTAAGAGAGCTTGGATATCTGATACAGGGGATTGGAATTAGGAAATGCAATGTATTGAACAGCTACTTCATCAGTTTGGGAGTTTGGAAAAATATTAAGAGGATGTGGTTTTAAAAACCAAAGAAAAAGTACCTGAGCTGCATTGTTCAGAAATGTCTTTACTCTTGCAAAGCAACCTCTTTAAATAATACAAAGTGGACTTTAYGTAAATCAGATCCTAGATACAGGGAGATTGGAGGTGTTGTAAAAACAGAAAACACRCCAACTTTTTACTGCTGTTCTTTTGGAGTCCTCCTGAAGATGAACTTGAGGTCCTTGGTTACAGAGGGGAGAAGAGATGGGTATATTCTGCAGATTCTTTACTTTAAAAAAGCAAACGCAATCTCTCCAAACACTATTGCATGGCTAAAATGTTTTCTCAGTTTTACCATGGAAGAAATAAGTCAAGTGTCAGCCTGTCTGYTCAGAGGAGACAGTTGTCTTTAAGAATTGGTGCTATCTGATATTCTGGATGGTTTTGGGTTACCATTTAGCACAAATTTATTATTTATTACCAAGACTATTAAACCTCAGTGTGTGAGGAGCAGTGCTTATAAATGGATGGGGAGACAGAAGTGTTCTGACCTTCTTGTAGTGGTAAAGGTCTTTATGGTGCTTAGATAGGAAAAGAGAGGGAGAGTGGATGCTGAAGCTCWCTCTCCCTGCCGTAAATCACACAGGCACGTGGTTTCTCCATTTACACCTCTACTGTTGGCCTTGGTATTCAGAAGTCAGTACATCTCTACACTGTATGTGTGGGTGTATGTTTTTTAACAGTATAGCTGGAACTGTGGTGTTTAAGCCTTTGTGTGATTTTTCAAGGTTATGATATTGCAGTCATAAGGCTARGACTTCTAAATTATGAAATTCTTATAGAATCTTCTTAAAAGCTTCAGATGATGCAAAAATTCCGAAATTGTGACTCTGTTAAAATGGGAAAAGTTGGCAATAGGTAGCATCTTGCTCACTGTGGAAACAAACTATCAAGCTGCTAAGCCCATTTTAGCTATCCACAATGCCTTTGAAAACGCCGGGACTTGACACAGTCAGGCTTGCTCAGTCTTTCAGAGAATAGGGTAAGAGCCTGTGCCAGGCTTTCCTTTGATGCTGGGATGTGTACAGTAGTTCAATAACACAAACAAAAAGTCAAATCCACCCTACTGCTAGTGCCTTTGTCCAAATTCTTGGCTTGCTTTTCAGTTCCCAGGAGCTGAACTGTGCACTGTGTCTGTGCACAGCTACATTAAYCTGTTGATTATTTCTCTGTGTATTGCAGTTTCTGGTGTACTGGAACTAACAGTGTGACACCAGTGGATTTTTGGTGTGGARCTGAAGTCTTACAGATTCTCTGGAGTTTCTGATAAAGATTGACTTGTGCATGGTTTGTGTTTTCCATTGTTGTCACTAAGGATGTGTCCTTTCTTTGGACATTAGGAGGRTGTTCTTCACAGAAGGAGTGATTGGGCATTGGACTGCACTGCCCATGGAGGTGCTGGAGTCGCTGTCCCTGAAGGTGTTTCAGAAAAAACTGGATGTGGCACTTAGTGCCATGGTCTGCTTGACAAGGAGGTGTTAGATCATAGGTTGGACTTCATGGTCTCAAAGTATTTTCCAACCTAGCTGATCCTGTGATTCTCCAGTGTGCTGACTTTTTTAAAAGAAAAAAAAATTGGGGAAACTGGTATCTGGACACTTGCAAATCGGGCTGGTATAGACTGGGAGAATCCGAGAGTTATTAGGAGAGATGAGAAAGGCTTATTTTCATAGGAAAACTTTCTACAGAGATTTTTAATTCCCTTTGTCCCTGACATCATCATTCATCTAAGACAAACATGTATTTAAAGGATAGAAATGTTTTTGTTGATTTATTTTTAATATGAGCAATTACCAATAGAAATAAAACTATTTTAAAACTCTTTTTTGTGTCAGTGTTTTACAAATATACTGCAAGTGTGCAGCAGTATGGATGTGCATGACTCTCAGGAAATTCCTCTCTAGCTTGGAGCAGCTCATCAGAGGAGATGGTTTCTGTAATTCCAGATACCAGTAGCTGCAATGTGCAGTTCACAACCATAAACCCTTTTCTTCAGATATCTCTTTAATCAAGTCCTCTTTGTGTTTTGCAGATCAGTAGAAATATGCATTTCCATAATACCACCTTTGAACTGATGAAGTGGAAGTACAGATGAAAACAGTCTGGAGGAAGCTTGAAGTACAATACAGTTTCATTCAGTTCCCTAATTCTGAGGTAAGGTTAATGCATGCAAAATTTTATTTCAAGTATTTCAGGAATAAAAAGCATATGATAAGCAGCCACCATATCTTACAAAAACATTTCTGAGCCACTTTTTTGTATGCTGCTTATAGTCTTTAATACCATACTGGAACAGCTGTTTGATCTGATCTCTGTCCATGTTTTGGTTCTGAAGAAAAGACAAATCAGCATCAGCTGCAGAGAAATCTGTTGTACAAAGGCACATTGGAGTAAAATTGTGGTATCAGAYGAATTTTATTTAGTAGAATCTGCTTGGTCATGAATACTACTAATGCTTTAGATGATTGTTAGTTTAGTTTATGATTTTGCTGATATGACTGGGCAAAAGCTTTACACAGTGTCAAGTGACAGGGCATCAGGATAAGTAGTTGGGTTGAAAACTCTGGACACAATTCTATTTTAAAAAGGGAAACACAAAACCCACCCACCCAACCACCTTCACAAGTTACTTTTTCTGCCTTCTAGTCCACTGTCTTTTTAAAGAGAAGTAGTGTTAGCAGCAATTGAGAGAGGGAGGTTGTTTTAYACATTCTCTGTATGTAGCTGATCTGGCAAAAATAAAATGGCAACACCACTCCACAACAAAATTTCTCTTATCTTCACACAGTTTGTTCTCTTTTTACTAGGGATTATGGGCTTTTAAGTCAGCAAATATACAAATGGCAAGAAGAAGTGAGCTTATCAGAACCAAATAAAAGCAAGTCCTTGTGCTAATTATTCCTGCTCCTACGTACTGCCTCTTATTTTCATACCTTTTGTAATTGAATTTCAAAAGCAAGGGACAAAGACAAAAGAAAAAAATTTGATCATGAAGGCCAAAAGAGGGAAATAGTATAAATACCAGATGTGAATAGGGTGTATTGCCCAGGTGTTGATCAGACATTTTATGTACTTCCTGAGTGAGAGATCAGCAGTATTGTATTTCATTGCCTGACCTGCTTTCAGGTATGTCTTTGAGCCCATTTATGAGTTTGARCACTTACAAAAAACAGTGGAAGCAAGTGTTTAAGTTTCAAATATTTGTTATATACAAAAGGTGTTTTTTGTTTGCATCTGAAACTGCTGACTGATTTGTTAGGTCCTCATGGGTTTACAGAGAATAATTGGGATTAAATTTTTTTAGTTGTCTCTTCCATTTTAGGGTTCAATGAAGAGTATCATATGTATCTCAGATAGTTCTCACGATAGTTTATTTTATCTTTCTTTAATATGAAGTGTCTGTAATACATCCCTTCATTGTAGTTTTGCTAATTCTACTCTATTCTGTTCTGTAATTCTACACTGTGAGACAGTGCAAAATTTTCTTATCTCTCAGTAAAGTAAATAGGTTTGTCTTTTGATTACACCTGTGAATTTGTGCAGGCATTTCTAGTGCAATGCAAGTGGAGAAATTCAGATCAGTATATTGTCTATAATCAGTAGGGTTACGTGTGCTCAATTACCTTCTGTAGCTGGTGTCCTGTATAGTGTTGTCTCCTTATTTAATAGAAAGATTTTGGTTGTATGATTACTTGGTTTTCTTTGGGATGTTTAAAACTGGACTTGGATGACTTCCCAGCACCACCCATTGAAATGTCAAATACTATCTAAGTTTGATTTGCATGCAGCAAGGCATGAGTTAGAAGGACATTAAGGACCTCTAACATACAACTACTGAACCAATAACTTTAGCTGACAGTTTGGGAATAATTTCCTACATTTCAGCTTCTACTGTCCCTAGAGTTGTCATCTTTCTGTGTCCTCCAAACCATTAGTGGTAGGACATCTTTTCTTACACAATGGAGCTTGTTCACTCAGTAGCCAGAAACACATACCAGGTGTTTCAGARTGAAGAGTGCCAGTGATGAGATGGTATTCCTGCAATGATTTTCTTATTAATCATCAGGACTGCCTAAGATTCTCTCTATTCTGTTAGGAAACAATTATTTTGTAAAGTTGGGTTAGCTGCCRTTGAATTTCATTGGTGGCAAGCTATTTGCTAGGAGTTAATTCCGTAACAAACAGGCTGAGCCACTTGAGGCTCAAACCACAAATGGGAAATGCAGGTCAGTGTGCTCAAAGCATTTTCCAGGAGTGGAGTAACCAGAAGGCCATGTCATCTTGTGAATCAGTTGATCAAAACAGGAAGTGCCAGTGCTTCCACTCTGCAGCTGCTCTGTTCTGCAGTGTCCTCCTAACAGGATTTTCCTTACTTCCATGGCCCCTGGCTTATCCCAGCTTGTCCCAGTAGTCTCACCATCTTGATCTCAGACCACACAAAACAAGAGCCTTCCTACTGCTAGGCCAAGACTGTCAGGCTCAGCAAGGTCAGATTAAGCCCCTGAGAATCCCTTCGTTTTTGTGTTGGCTCTGTTTGGCTCAGGAGCTCCTGTTGAAAGCGTAATAGGCAGCAGATTCCAAGGAAATCTAGACAAACTCTTGTGTAGTAAAAGGAGGCTAAATTTTGGATCTTAYTTCTGTGTCTGAGGGTGGGAAATATATGGGGTAGGATAGAGAACAATTTAAGATCTTACAGTGAGCAAAGCATACGAAGAAGATATTTGCAGTACAGTCTGAAGATGTTTGTATTGATAGGAATGTATTTTGTAACCAGATTATTGTAACATRGATATGTAATTAGAAACACACCAGATTTCCTTTTTTGCTTATTTTTCTATTTAGTGTCTAGATTAGGAATGGTGAAATGTGGGCTTGAAGCAAACATTAATACAGGGATTAGTTTTTGTTTTCAGGAATTCTTTTCTATCCTTTTTTTATTCCCTTGAGCCAAAATGAAGCAGATATATTCTTTCTGACGGTACTATTTTGAAGCAGTCCTAAGTAGTCAGTTATGGAGTAGGTTCCTCTAAATGAGGTTGAAACATGAAGAATGTCCTTCTCCAGAGGTTCCAAGATTGTAAAGGTACAGTAAGTTTCATGAAATGTTAGGTGAAGTTTTTTTAAGTGTTGCAGTTGATACTGAATTTAATTAAAATAAATCAAGGGGTCCACTTCAAGTGTATTTTAAAATACTAATTATTAAAATAATAAACAACTGCTTGGTAGCTTACCAAAATCGAAGACTGATTTAGATAGGGATCTTTTTATAATATCCTTAATGTTTATAAAGACACGGTGATAGGAACTTGGTAATTTTCTTGTTTCTAAACCAGACATATGTACTATCCTTTAAAAAATGAACTGTGTACCATTGCCAAGTCTATGTAAAGAAAGGGTGCTTTTATCATATCCTTAAAATACGTATGTTTTATATTTACAGCACAGTACAGAAATTTCAGGATCTTCAGTAAAAATCTGAATTTGTTGGAGTAATGCTACTTCAGGGTCAGTAGTCACATCTGTTAGGWGCATTTCCACAGTGAAGATGTGCAGAGGGGTTCCCAAATGGCTACAGTTTACCATGCTTCAAAYACATTTTGTTGTTCTAAGATCTGAAATTCCTGTTCTCGTTCAAACATGCTCATTCAAGTTGCTGGTGTTTGAAAAACAATTATTTGTTTCAGTTGGCAGGTAAAGCATAGGAAAGTTTTTTACAAAAACAGTTCAGTCCTAGGCTTTCAGTGGAATGAAAGTGAAGAGATAAGGGGTCTGCCTGTGCAGAGGAGAGTCTCTAAAGTCTTTGAGATGGCAGTGTATGAGAAGTGGATATTTATACAGGTGTCTCGAAGTTCTCTGCACTTCGAGTTGTTTTTGAATTTGCAAATGGATACTTGCAATCTACATAGTTTCTCACTCACTCAGCATATTTAATCTTTGGTGAAATTCATGTTTCACCAATCTCTGAATTAATAAGAATTTTTTAATGGAGAAGTGGAAAAAATGTTTGCTTTATTGGTCTTTAAAAATTGCACAGGCACCCACCAAAGCCAGTCTATCACTCGCTTCTCCATAGGTTGAGATAAGGACCAGGAGAGATCACTCACTGATTACCTATTACAGGCAAAAGAGACTCGGTTTGGGGATATTAATTGAATGGCTTACTAATAAAATCAGAGCAGGATAGTATGAATTAAAATCTCAAAACACCTTCTCCCCATCCCTCCCTCTTTTCTGGGCCCTGCTTCCCCCTCCAGCAGTGCTGGGGAATGGGGAATGGGGGTTGTGGTCAGCTCATCACATGTTGCTGCTGTTGCTCAGGGAGCAGAGTTTTTTTATGCTCCACAAGCTGCTGCAGTGTGGGTCCCTGTTCCCCAGGGTGCAATCCTTCAGGCACAGAGCAATMRGAGTCCCCACAGGGTCACAAGTCCTCCCAGGAAACGTGCAGTGTGCAGGTCCCTGCCAGGACCCTGCTCCAGTGCGGGTTTCCCGTGGGTTCACAGACTCCTCTCAGGTACCTGCCTGCCCTGGCGTGGGCTTCTCACGGGCTGCAGGTGGATCTCTGCATCCCCGTGCTCCTTCGTGGGCTGCAGGTGGATCTCTGC